CTTTCTTTCTTTCTTTCTTTCTGTCTTTCTCTCTCTCCCTCCCTCCCTCCCTCCCTCCCTTCCTTCCTTCCTTTGCTTATTTATTTATTTAATCTATATGGGTCTTTTGCCTTCATGTACATATATCTGTGTACCACATATGTTCCTGGTACTCTCAGAGGCCAGAGGAAGGAGCCAGATCCCCTGGAACTGAAGTTATGAGCAGCCACGTGGGTGCTGGGAATTGCGCTCAGATCCTCTGGGAGGGCAAGTCAGTGTTCTTAACCACTGAGTCATCTCTCTAGGCCCTGTACTTGCTTTTCATATTGGCTTTTAAAAGCTAGACTTTAGATTATGAATTGTGTATATGTGTGTGTGCCTGTGTGTGCGTGCGTGCGTGCGTGCGTGCGTGCGTGCGTGTGTGTGTGTGTGTGTGTGTGTAAAGACAGAGTGTCTCACATAATGTGGAGCCTCGTTTGGTGGGACAGTGAGCCTCCAGGCTCTGCCTGGCCCTTCTCCCAAGCCCTGGGGTTGTAGATGGGCCTTGCCACGCCTGGCTTTCATGTGAGTTCTAGGGCTCCTAACCCAGGCCTTCATGCTTGTTCATCAAACAGTTCTCCACTGAGCCATCCCTCTAGACCAGAATTATAAATATTTTTAATGTATATGATAGACAAGACTGCTTTTATTTAATATTTATGTATTTTTTATGTGTTATTAGAGAGCATTACAATTTTTCCCTTGGTAGGGCTTGAGAGATGGCTGTGTTGGTAAAGTGTTTGGAAAACCGGAGTTCACATTTTAAAAAGCCAGGAGGGGCTGGAGAGATGGCTCAGTGTTTAAAAATACTTGCTACTCTTCCAGAGGACCCAGGTTCGATTCGCTGCTGTCTGCAATTCTAGTTTCAGGTGATCTGACAACTTCTGGCCTCCCTTTCCACCAGGCATGCATGTGCTGTACATACAGATGCAGGCAAAACCCTGTCCACATAAGATAAAGGAAAAATCCAGGAATAGGTTTTTCTGTTTCCTATACCATGGAAGAAGAGACAAGCAGATCTCAGGGACTCGCTGGAGAGTCAGCCTGGCATCTGTGGCAGATACCAGGCCAGTGAGAGACCTGTCTTAAACAAAAAAGTGGAATGAGAGAGAGAGAGAGAGAGAGAGAGAGAGAGAGAGAGAGAGAGAGAGAGAGAGAGTGTCATGTAGTACTTGTGTGTCACACAAACACACTCACACTTGTAATTTACCTGATAATGCCTGAGGTAGCTCCGTGTCTCAGTGTCCCCTAGCATAAGACCTCCTGCATGGGAGCCTCAACTAGCCTCCAGGTGAGCTGCCATTTGCCCATAAAGCTTGAGGAAAGGGCTGCCTAGAACCAACAGGGGAAAGGATTGTTATGAATATACCATGAGCAGTCTCCAACATTAGCTCAAACAAAGGAGCAAACAACAAACAAACAGAAAAAGCCCTCCTAAAGCTGAATAATAATAATAAAAATGTCTATAGACGGTGGAACAAAGCTGTAAGTTTCCCTAGGCCAAGGACTCTAGTTAGCTCTTGAATATATCACACCTAACTTATTTTTGGGGTTATCTGAAGAAGAAAAAAAAAAAGAACCAATGAACGATGGGCCACTTATTGAACTCTGTAAACTAAGATTCTTGAATGAAATGGGGTATCATCAACCAATTTCTAAAGCCATTCAGGGATGTTGTAAGGGTGGTTCTTTCTCATCTGGCAGATATGTGCTTGGTGGTCAGGAATGGCCACTGTGGACAATATGCCCCAGTGCCAGAACAATCGGGTACATTTTGTGAGGTGGTGTCTCTAGCTAGACTTCTCACT